GGAATTTGCACTGAAATTACTTGCAGAAGTCATTTGTCTATGTCAGAGTATCAAATCGGCACAAGCACAAATACAATCCAACCAAGAAGAATAACAGTCTGTAGTGCATAACAGTGACATCAAGGAGCTGAAGTAAAACTGAAATCAATGTAAATTAGGGTTGAAATGCTCCACTAGTTGGATTCCTGCCAAACTCAAAACAAAATTTGGAAGGGTGTCGTTGAGCAGCCAATCACCAATACTTCAGGGCATTACTGCAGGAGTTCCTCAGAGTAGTATCATAGGCCAAGCCATCTTCATCTGCTTCATCAATGACCTTCCCTTTCCCTAAAGTTAGAAGCGGGGATGTTCGCTGATTATACAATTTTCAATATAATTTGCAACTCCTCAAATATTGATGCAGTTCTTCCTTCCAACAACACAATTCAGGTTGAACTGATGAATGATGAGGACCTTTCTCACAGTAATGTCACATAATGACCATCTCCAACCAGTTTAATCACTGCTGCTTAACTTCTAACAGCATTGTGTTGCTGAATACCCAGCCATTAACTGCAAAGGGGCTCACCATTGACCACCAATTTAATTGGATGAGTCACATGACTACTATGGCTACAAGAGCTGGTCAGAGTTTGGATATTCCACAGTAAGTCATTCATCTTATGGCTTCCCTAAACCTTTCCACTAGCTGCAAAGGCACAAATGAAAGGTTTGGCTGAATACTTATTTGCTCCAACAACATTGAAGAGAGTCTCTATACTTAATTGGCATCATAAACACTGCCACAAGCAGTGCCCCGCCCCGCCCCACCAAAAGTGGCAGCAGTTTATTCCATTTATAAGATCCATTGCTAGCAACTCACCAGTGATGTTCAACAGCACCTTCCAAACCTGTGATGAGCATAGCAGACACATGAGAACACTAGTACCTCCAAGTTCCCCTCCAAATTGTATACCATCCTGACCTCGAACAATATCATTGTTCTTTTATTGTCACTGGGTCAAAATTCTGGAACTTCTTTGCTAATGGATCTGCCAGTGTAGGTATACTTGTTAGACCACAATGTCTCCAGAAGCTGGCCAACCACTACCACCTTGAGAGCAGTTAGAGATGAGCAATAAATGCTGGCCTAGCTAGCGATGCCCACATCCCATGAAATAATTAGAAGGAATGTAAAGTTCAGATCACGGTTCATTGGGCTAGAAGGGCTCATAGAGATAACGAGGCATGAGGTCAAGATTGGATATAAATGGATGATGTTAAATTTAAAGTTCTGTAAAATAGCTAATGAGGGCAGGGAGACAGAAATGTCAGACTTGATGTAAGCTTGGACATTGAGAACAGAATATTGGATGAACTGAAATTTCAAAAGGGTAAAGCATGGGAAGATGACAAGGAGAATTGTGTCTGGAGATGATAAATGCATGGATGGGAGTTTGTGGTAAATTGGAGCAGGTTGGGGCAGAGGTAGATGCAGGTAGTCTGGTGCAGATGGAAGCTCATGATCTTAGTGGAGGGGAGATTGAAGTCAGGAACTCCGTTTAGATGAAATGGGATGTCCAGCTTGAAAACCAGTCCAGCTCACTCTAATGGTGTTTAGGAAGGTGAAAGGAATAGTTGGCCAGGCTACAAAACTTGTGCTTGGAGCCAAAGACAATGGTTTCAGTCTTCCCAAAATTTAGCTGGAAGAAATTGCATCTCCAACAGGCTTGGAAGTTGATCACGCATCCTCACAACTGAGTTGGGAAGTAAAACTACTGATTAGATATTTTGCATAAACTCAAATAGGTAGAAATGGAACAATGTAACCAGTCCCATCAAAGTGCATGTCACAAGAGAGCTGTGGAAGGTGTAGACAGAAATGTTAGCAACTGTGTTAAACTGGAGCTTGGGATCAAATGCTTAACATAGAGCTGATTTAGTTGTTATTTTATTGATTTTAATGGGATAAAATTAGTCCAGACTTTAAAGTATACCAGTAAACCTCCCCACAAGTTAGCCACTCGAGTTTGAAGGTAAATACGACTGAGCCTCCCCACCTTATATTTTCATCTCTTTCGGGAGAAACTATTTTTGGCTTAAAGGGTGAATTTGTGTTGGGGAATGCCAGAAAATGCACGCAATAACATGTAAGACTCAATAAAATAATTGCAGCTCATGGTTTCTGGTCCTTTTCCAGCTTTCTACCACATACCCACCCCTTCCAAACAAAAATTGTTCTTTATCACTGGTATCCTTATTGAATAACTACTAAATTCACTACTGTTGCTGCAGACTATGTTTTAGTTTGAATTAGATTTTTAGAAATAAATATGTTCAAAATGTTACAAAATAATAAATTTGATCAAAATGGTAAAATTGAGTTGTTCATACATGGAGTCTCCATTTAGAACGGTTTTGAAGTTGTAAGCTCTTTTGAGGCTGTACCAACTTTGTTTTTATTTTTTGGTTACTGGATAAAGAGGTGTGTGAAATGGAATAGGAGATTTGGTGGAACACAATTACACTGAAGAATTTAGTGATGTATTGATTAACTTCAAAAAAGAAATGCTGGCGATTCAGGTGACTAAATACACTGGAACTCAATCCTACTTTGCAGTTTGCACCGTGAGAATGACATTGTGGAAGAGAAAAAATTTGCAAGAAATGCGAGATTGTCATCCTGAAGTTGTGAGAGAATATTTTGGGGTGGTGTCAAGATGAAGTTCAGTGATGTTTGAGACTCTTGAGATTCAGTGGTTTCCTATCAGGTACCTGGTAATGCTCTAATATTAGTGGACAGGAGCTTTGTGGTGGTGGTCACTGATGCTTTGTGTTGAAGAATTAATGATTTTATGATAGAATTTCTGCAGATATTTTCTAAACAGCCTGTTCATGGATGTTATTACACAGCTCTGGAACAGATGGGTCTTGAACCCAGGCCTCCTGGTAGGAAGGTTGGACACTACCAACATGCCCCAAGTGCCCTACATTGCTCTTTCTTTCATATCCAGAAGTGCTCTTGCTCTCAACTGAACACCTTCTATTACTAAATTGCCCATTGTATTGCTTCATATATGAATGACCACCAGAGCCTTGCATTTCTTAGTTGGTTGATTGATATTCCACAGCTGATTGCCATATGAAATAAGCTAGTCCAAAAGTTGTTTGTTAAATTCAAGCTCTAACTGTGGAACAAGTAGCTAAGAAGCCATGGAATTATTTCCACAATTTCTTACCAGGGTCACTTCTCGCCTCTTTCTATTAGCAATTAATTTTCACAAGGTCCCATTTGCAATCTACCCAGGTTTCACTATGGTGATTGAGCATCTTGAGATAAATTGATATATCTGACATTGTCTGACATTGCTATGAATCTAAATCATAAATTTGAATTTCTCACAAGGTTGTATTAGCTGACAAACGACAATCTCATCAGATCATGACTGTGTGTTTTGTTGATTCCAGAACTTTGTTCAGTTTGCACATTGCAGCAGAATTAAATTGACTAGATAACTCAGGTTGCCTGTTAACTTCATATCAACCTGAAGCCATCTGTGTTTAGGACAGAGCTGAGTTAATGTTTTTTTCATTTGTAGAAACCTACTGTCTCAAGGTAGAATGAGAAATCTTGTTGTATTGTCATAGGCATTTCAAAAACAAAACTACCCTAGCATTTAATCCTTCGTGGGACAGTCAAGTTTCATATATTTCAATGGTATAATTTAACTGTTATCATTTTTTATGCATGCTTTTGTATACAAGTTTAATGGAAGCTAATTAGTACAAACTATTGTTGCACACTTCTATGGTAAATTGATGTATGGATCGTAGACTTTCACCATGTTAACCCTAAGCTGCAGGATCCATTGTTTTTATTTAATGAGATATCAATTTCCTTCGGCATTATTAAGGAAATAGTGATACATTATTCATGGTGTTGGACTAACAACCCAGCATTTAAGAATTGAAATATAAACATGTCTAGTCTAAGAAGATATCGCCGTGACATCTCTGCAGTAGTCAACATACAACAGAGTGCTACAGTCAAGTCCTTCTGTCCCTGGGGATTACCTTATACAACCACTCAAAAGACGAATATGCTATAATGTTTAAAATGGGAAAGAATTGGATAGGATTCAACCATTTAGGCATTTGATACAGGATACAGTGGAGGACAATAAAAACAATGCCACTAATACATTTTAAAAAAGTCCTACTGAGAAATGGTTTAAGAAAGGCATAAAAATTGTCTCACTTGCCCTTTTTATAAACCTTTCCAGCAGAATGCAGTGAACACCCGGACTATTAACCCAATGACCTAGGAAAGTTCTGGGTTTGTATCCCACCAGGGCAAATGGTAGAATTTGAATTCAATAAAAAGCTGGAATTAAGGGGTCTAGCCTTGAAAACATTGTAGATTGTTTGGGAAAAAACCCATCTGGTTCCCTAATGTCCCTTAGGGGAAAGAAATCTGCCATCATTTCCTGGTCTGGCCTACATGTGACTGAACCCACAGCAATGTGGTTGACTCTAACTGCCCTCTGGGTAACTAGACATGGGCTGGTCCAGCCAATGATGCTCATATTTCATGAGAGAATGAAAAAAAAATTTCAGTAATCAACATGGCAAATGACATACTTGCTGTGCATCGTTTCTAGTCCAAGAAATTACAGGTTTAGTGCCTCATGGACACATCCTTCATTTTAGTTACTTATGTTTATTCAAGTGCCTTTTCATTTCTTTAACATTTTCTCCAAGGAACATCAGTGTTTTATTCTGGCAACTGGAGATAGCAAACATTGGATCCAGAATGTCAAAACAATGAACATAATGTTTTGATGGGTACAAGCAAATTCAGGAATGGTGGAGATGTGCTGCCTTTTAAGAAAAGGAGCTAGCCACCTCTATCTAGTCTGGCCAACAGTGGCATTAATCCCAGTATGTGGTTTTAAAGAGCATCTGAACGAGCCCAGTAAGCCGTTCAGTTATAAGTAATTGCAACGAAGACCAAAAAGTTAATGGAAGCAGCTGGAAAACCTGTATATCTGCCTCACTTTGGGCACACCACCACTGAAAGACTCCAGCAGCTGACTCAGTGTTACCTTCTCAGGGTAATGTAGTATTGGTAATAATTGGCCAAGTTTGCTCATGCCTTGAGATGTTTCATGTGTCCATGTGACAAATTCGATTCAGTAAATGAAGCCATAATTTCAGTGCAATTTTCTCTACACTTGGTAAAACGGTCATTTGCCCAGGAAATGTTCATGATGTACTGCTTGAACAAATAGGCACTTCGATTATAATACGTCGAAACAAGTTCTCAAACTGACAACTGCCATGTTTCAGTTTTTTTTTTCTGCAACCTTTGTGTAAGACTTTATATAAAGGGCTGTCTGCTATGTTACCTCTGTGGCATTTTCCATCTCTTTGTTAAAATTTATTTGAAAGGCTTTCACTTATTTTTGTGGGATGCAACTTTTCTTGTTTTGACATTAGATATTTTATGATTGCTTTGCTGATTTTTTTTATGTATATATTCCTTTCATTTATTTCCTGTTTTATTCACTTCCCCACCCCCTTTTATGCTGTTTAAAAGGTGAGTAATCATCGGAAAGCCACTGCTGTCCAGAAGGATCACAACTTGCTTACGGTAGGAGCAATTGTAACTAGTTTTCATGGTGATGTTGTGTGATGTCTAGTTCGTTAATGTGGTCTTAGCTGTCTACTCTAAGTCACATGGTGTAATTGTTCAAATTGTGTGAATATTCCTGTCTGTTGCAGGAAGTCTGAATGCAGACTAAACTTTTGTTAACTAAGACAACATGAGGGGCCAATGCCTTAATCCGCTCAAGCTCCCAGATAGAATTGGACAGGGACTACACTGCAGCTTAATAAATGCCACTGATCACCTTTTTCTTTCAAGTTCCAGTAAATGTTATTTCTCATTGAGAGCTGGGAAATTGCCTGTTAAAATCCATCCCTGTCACTGACTGTACGGCTGAAACTAATTAATGCTAAACTTGTGTGTTTAATGAATGATGGCATCATAAAAGATAAAGCAAAGAAGGTGACCATTTGGCCCAACATGTCTCTTAGTTGGGGCTATCCAATTACTCTGATGCTCCTGTTTTCCTACAAGTGTTTAGACAGGCACTTAGGCACAGTGGTAGTGTCCCTATGTATGAACCAGGAGGTCTGGGTTCCAGTCCCACTTGTGCCAGAGGTTGCTCTGAGCAGGTTGATTAGAAGTTCATTTCCCTCCAAGCATTTGTCCAATTCTCTTAAGAATTACTATTAAGTTGGTTTCCACCGGTCTTTAATGTACAGGATTCTAGATTGTAACTAATCCCAAAACTTCAAGAGACCAATTCTTCTGTCACTGAAATGGGTTATCTATTCGAACAAAGCCCATTTGTTATGTTGAACATCATAATTGCCTCCCATCCTTCTTTGCTGTCAGGAAAACAATGCCACCTTGTCCAGTCTTTACCCAGGACTGAAGTCTCTCATCCTTGGTAAATCTCTTCTGCACACTCTGATATCTTTGCAAATTTTATGTCTCTGAATTGAGCACAGCTAAGATGAGGCCTAATGGGTGCTTTTCTAGAGGTTTAATGTAATTCCCTTTCTATTTTACTCTATGCTTTTATTTATAAAGCCAAAAATTAGTGATTTTTTTTATAATCTCTACCTACTGAATTTGTCCTGCCATTCAAAGATTTGTGTGTGTTTGTCTTTTCTAAAGTCATATCATTTAAGTAGCATTGCCTCATCCAATTCTTCACATCAAAATGTATTTCTGCTTCAAATTTAATCAGCCAGATTTCTACCCATTCCACTAGTCTACATTTTAAAAAAAATTATGTCCTGTAAGCTAAGTCCAGGATAGAGGAAAATGTGTTGGGAACTGCTGTGTTCCTAAAAATAACCCTGGGTCACCTTCTTATATTAAAATTTTAGTTTCTTCAATATTAAATTTATTTAACCACCCTTCCTATCAAATGTGAGACAACAAGGTGCAGGGCTGGATGAACACAGCAGGTCAAGCAGCATCATAGGAGCAGAGAGGCTGACGTTTCGGGCCTTGACTCCTATCAAATATGTTGTTTTTGTAACATAATGGTCCAACTATAGCTAGCAAAAGAGTTGAGTGGCAGGTAAACGAGAGAAGGGAGATGCCTATCACACACCCACACACACACACTCATCGAAACATGCAAGCATAATATATTAATTGAGTTTCCTCACCTCATTGAGTTCAAGAATCTCTTCAAATCAGTTCCCTTGATGACACCTTAGCAGACATTTTGTCCTTTATCAGAAATCAACGTAATAAGGAAAACAATGTCAAGTAAAGGTCTTTTGTAACAGTTTTCTACAAAACAAAATAAATCCTGCTTGCAAATTTTGGGCCTTGTTACATTTCTACTGTTTTTCCCAATGGTTTTAAGATCCTGTTTAGAATTAAAAACTGTTGTCAAGTTGCATATGGAGTTGTGCTTTACTTTGCTTCAAAATGTTTTTACCGGAGTAGTCAACAATTGTATGTCAGTGTTGTAGAAAGATTAAAATGAAGAAAACAAAAACTGTCACAAACATAAAACAGGAGCAGGAGTAGGCCATCCGGCCCTTCGAGCCTACTCTGCCATTCAATATAATCATGAATCATATCATTATTGAGTGCTGCATCTTGATCAATCAGTCTGTGAATAAATATTGAGCCAGAGTAAGCAGATTGTGTTATACAGTAGTTGATTGAAGTACCCAGCCATCTCCTTTGATCAGCTTGTTGTGCTGTATTCCAGCACAGATTGCATGTGTTTAGTATCCACTTGCTACACAAACAATAGATATAAACTGTGTAACCACTGAATTGCAATAAGAGCCATCTCTATGCCTGGAAATTGTTTTTGAAGGTGCGCAGTGGTGTTTTTGGTAGACTTTCGAAATTGCATTAACATTTGAGGTACACCTATACACAAGGAGTTAAACTGACTTTTATTAAATATAATTTTTCTTATGTATTTTGTCTTTTGACAGATTTGATGCTTTTAGATACAGGTGGAAATAAATAAAAGCGGTGCTTATTTATCTTTGCTGTTTTGCAGCCCAAGCCACGTCTTCAACGGGGTGGGAGCTCAGCTTCCCTTCACAATACACTCATGAGGAACAGCATCTTTCAGCTAATGATCAACACTCTAGATCCACTTGCTGAAGGTAACCTCCTAGAGTTGGATGTGAAACTTTACACATGCAATTGCTTATATCCAATAAGGAACCTTTACAAACAGGTTTGCTTAGATATACTATACTACATGGTGTAAGCATTCAATCTTCAGTCTATCACAACGTAACGTGAAGCTATCTTTTCTTTCAATGAAACAAAGCAGACTCTTGCATCCGCGCTACAAGCTATATACTGCTAAGCCTTTCCTTCGCACAAAGTTGCCATCGGGAGGAAATTGCTGGGCATTTTCTGACTGTTTCAGTGGATTCTTGAGAGTTCACTGAGAGTGAAATTTGATTTGAGCAGTACAACACAATGGATGTAGCAAAGCAGCAGTACATTTTTGGAATCTTCCTGTTATTGACATCAGTTGAATAGAAAACTGGATGAAGTGGAACACGGGCTATTATATTGCAAGTGACAGAAATAACTATTAATTTATTCTGCATAAGAATTGTTTCTCTTGTGACTAAAATCTAAGAAAAAAATCAGATTTGAAAATTTCTCCAATACACGTTGATTCTACAGAGAAAGAGGTGGTTCAGTGTTTGGCACTGCTGCCTCACAGCGCCAGGGACCCAGGATGGATTCCAGCCTCGGACAACTGTAGATGTGGAGTTTGCTTATTCTCCCTGTGTCTGCATGGGTTTCCTCCGGGTGCTCAGGTTTCCTCCCACAGGCCAAAGATGTGCAGGTTAGGTGGATTGACCATGCTAAATTGCCCGTAGTGTTCAGGGATGTGCAGACCAGGTGGATTAGCCATGGGAAAAGCAAGATTACAGGGATAGGGTTAGGAGTTTGGGTCTGGATAAGATGCTGTGTAGAGGGTTGGTGTGGACTTGATGGGCTAATTGGCCTGCTTCCAAAGTGAAGGGATTCTACGATTCTGTGAATACTCCAGTGAGTCGCTTGTGGTATTTAGTTGCAGTTTATGCTGGTCAGTTCAAATGTACTGGCAGACTGATGTTACATTGATTTAGATCCTCATTGTAAAACAAAAATTTGTAAAACTTTATTTACAAAGCCTTCACTTTTAACTTTTAAATTAATAAGTTTAATTTATTGATGTAGCTGTGCTATGTTCTTCATATTTTTCTTTGAAGTATTAAATACCAGAACTAAGCAATAGCTTTGGAATTGATCAGCAAAATAAGGATTTCCTTTCCAGTTGCTGTCTCTTTCTTTATGTCTTGTACAGATATCTGTAATCAAGATTTGCAAAAAAACACTGGAATATATATATTTCCACAAATGACACCTGAAAACTTTCTTTGGAAAAGCTCTGGTGCTAATTGTGCTTTTTATACTCCAGGAAAAAAAGGTGTTGAAGGGCATTTTTATTTTGTTCGTTTGCTCTCCTTGCTCAGTTATAACCTGTCTAACATACAGTAACCTCAGCTATCATTGTACTACACCTTATCAATCCAAGTGGGGACAAAAAAGTACTGTGGATGCTGGAAATCAGAAATTGCTGGAAAAATTCAGCAAGTCTGACAGTACGTGTGGAGAGAAAGCAGAGTTAACGTATTGGGCCCAGTGACCCTTCTTGAGAACCAAGGGAAATACATATTCTGAGCCATTGCAATATTTGTACTATCCATATCAGGCACCTTCCTCAGGTTCAGAAATCAGATTGCCCAATTACTGGCAAATTGTGAGTAATGTTGTGCCATTAGCTTAAGCCCATCAGAAAATGAATTCAAATGGATTAATTAATTTCACTTAATTTCAGCAAGCGTCAAGGAATACAGACCATCAGAGAGAGAGAGAGAGAGAATGAGAACACAGCTTTCAGTACTTTTAAATAACTGTATGTGCTGATTAAGTCTGTTTCCTGAAGTACTTAATTGAGGTTGGAACGAACAGTATGTTATAAGAACAATGTGAGAGGTGATCAGTCCATGTCTAAAATAGTTTAATTTGGACGAAAACCCAGGATGAGAATTTTTTTTTCTATGCAGTCAAACCTGAAAAGTTATGGTAGTAGCGGTTTCTTTTTGTTTTATTTTTTGTTTGATTAAGGAAAAAGATTAAATTCTTTGCATATTTCGATACAGACTTTCTTAGCTGGTAGACAATTCACAGAGATAAAATGAACAAGCTGTTCCCATATTATTAACAAATATATATTTTAACTAAATGCAGTTTTGATTTGGTCTCTCAATTCACCGCCATATTGTAGAAAGTAAAATTGGCTGGGGTATACATATGTGACTGACCCAAAACTATCCATGTCCTGCCCAGAATGTTAATTCCAACACTAATATTAATTGCAAACAGTATTACGGCTGTGTCGAAAATGCCATCAGCCTTCAAGATAATGCAATAGGAGCTTATATTCAATTCTGGGAAACGTCAAAGGTGAAAATAAATTTTTAAATGTGTCCCGAATATACGTTTTTTTCAAAATAAAAGCAGAAAATGCTGAGAATACTCAACGTTTGTGGATGAAAGGTTAAAGATCTGAAATGTTAACTGTTTCTGTCCCCACAGATATCACCTAATCACTTGAGCATTTCCAGCATTTTATTTCTGAGTGAACCATTCAGGTTTATTTTTGTTTTTGCATTATGGAAAAACCTTTCTTAAATAAGTTCAAAATGGTGTTAATGAACGAATAGATTAAGTGGATACTCCTGACTTGTGCACACCAAAATAGAAGGTCCTAGTTTCTCAAGTGTAGCGTTTGCAGGATTGAAGTATTCAATGGTATACTGAGTACGTCAAAATCTCATGTTTTCGTATGCTGCTTTAATGAAGAATCAGTACAATAATTCACCTTAAATGAAAACAAGCCAGCTAATCATGTAAAATGTCTGTTAATGATGCAAAGTAACAAAATATTTCCAGGTTACTGAAGGGATATGAAAATAGAGTAAAGTAACATAATCCAACGCAATAAAATGCCAAAATGAGGTGTGATTCTCATGCACAAATGCCAGTCCCTTTGGGCTACTGCATGAAGCTCTATGGAAAAGATTTTTGGAGCTGTTTAGTGGTGTCAAAGAAATGCTCACTGAAAACATGATGCTACAGAAGAAAGATCACTTCACAAAGCCTTTGCTGCTTAAGCCATGCCAAAGGAAGTGTTTTCATCTGAATCTATCAATGAAGTGGAGGCAGATAAGTTGGAAATTGGTAAGTACAAAGTTCTCGGATATTTAATCATCTGAAATATTCCAGTCTGCCACATTCACACCATTATTTGTAAATGAGTAATCACTGCACACTTAGAACTATGCAAAATAGTTAAGCATGTAATTCTGATAACTGCATACTGAGCTAAAGTATGTGCAGTAAATTATATCTGGCTTGCTAATGACGGCCTTTTGTACACTTCACCCTATACTAATTGGTTAATTATTTGCAAGTCGAATCTGAGGACTGAAGTTTTAACTCTGTGTATCCTATCCATGCAGATTGGGTTGTCCATCAAGCACAAGGAATTTGTTTCTCCAGACCTCAGACATCACTTGGGAGGAAGACCAGTCACAACCTGATCCAGATATCTGGGGTCTCTCTCAATTTGGATTAATGAATTGTCGCTATCAGCAATGATCACTTACACTGGCATAATTCTGCTCCTATATCTTACGGTCTAATGAATATTGTGCTTTGTCAAACCATTTGCCCTATCAACATCTGGGCAGCTTTATTCCTTTAATTAGTCAACATAAAGAGGCATTTCAGGAAACCCAAACCTGACCATCTTCCAAAAAGTCCAGTATCCCTGAAGAAAAGCAGCCCCTGAAAGAAAAAGAAATTCTTATTCACTGTTTTAACATGGAAATCAAGATTTTTCCCTACGTTTTCACATGACAAATGTTTGCTCATGTGTTAATTTTGATTCCATAGTAAAATTATTTCTTAAAGGTCACTTAAGACTGATATGAACCAGCCTTTTACACCCGAGATTATATGCTTTTTCAAATCCTAGCAGCCCCCTATGTTTCTCATCTCTCTATGTTGGGTTATCCTGAAAGGCTCCAGGGAGATAAACGCTCAGTCTGCACTCTGCACCATTAAGCATACAGATGGTCAACATATCCAGTCAGCTCCTCACACTTCATTGTCATAATTGTGTCAGAAACATGATGGCAACTTAATTTACATTTATAAACCAGATTTTAGGGCTCAAACCTTGCTAAAATGCACATGACTTTGCAGGTTAATGCATAGTTTTCCAAACATGTCCCTTGTGTTGTTTGGGGTGGTCTGAGGAGGAATAACTGGGCCTCTGAGTCTTTAATCAGTGGACCAAGTACTTTGCAAAAAGAAAATTTATGTTGTTCCATGTTTGTTTCCTCAGGGCAATCAGCACTACCAAAATAAATGAAAGTTGTCCCTGTATACAGAAAGTAGGTGCTTTGCATCCCTTATTTGCAAATGGAATAAAATCTGCTTTAGATTTGAGTAAAGGACGGCTTTTGTTTGTCTTTTGATGAAAAGCAAGCCAATGCAATTGGATATTCATTGGGTTCTGAAATGGCAACCATTGTACCTAAACAGCAGGCAGAGTCTGCTGATCCCAATTTCATGCCACTTGTGTGTCTGCTTGTTTTTTTTTCTCGCTTTCAATCAGATGTCTATGGATTTGACGCAAGCTAAAAGCCACTAGATCCCGCTTAAGGCAAAGTATTGAACATTTTCACCATATACAGGCAGTAGAAACTTTGTAAAGTGACCGTATTGGTTGGTTAACTGATGGCAATTGTGTAATGTGACATGCAAGTCCCTGCAAATTCAGTACTGTCACTTAGTCATTTTAAATGTATTAATTGGGTCTATAAAATAACAATGGAACAAAAATAGATAGATACTTGGTTGAAGTATGACATCTAATCCCCAGATATTGAAGTCAATATTTTATCTCATGTAGGAGGAAATAATCTTAAAGAAATACGTTTTGCGTTTACAAATCAGAATATGCAGCGATCCTTATTTTCTGGTTTCTGACTGAAAATCCAACAATCTCTTTCTCCAGCTGGCTCTGAATAAATATTTGGGCCTGACTGCCAGATGTTCACATGAAGAGTAAGTAATTAAATGAGAGAGTAATATATCACAATAACAGAATTGCAGGAGGAACCATTCAGTCCATCTTGTCTGCACTGGTTCTGTTGTTTAATGCCAATCTCCTGCTTTTTTCCCAAATATCTACACACTATTTCTATCCAAATGATTATAATAATAATTGAATGTCTCAATTGAACCTGCCCCACCACATTTCCATGCAGTGTGTTACATACCCTAACTACGTGCTGCATGAAAAAGATTTTTGTCTCATCACCCTTGGTTCCTTTGCTCATCACTTTAAATCTATGCCTTCTTGTTTTTGTCTTCTTATATGAATGGGAACAGATTCTCCCTATGTATTCTGTCCCACCAGCTCATGAGTTTGAAAACCTCAATCAAATCTTGGCTCAGCCACTTTCTGTCTAGGGAGAACAGTCCCAAACTCTGAGCAGTTTCTCATTTTGAAACCATTGCCAGTGCCTGTACTGTATTCCTTGGAAATTAATTTTCAGAATGAATAAAGTCTAAGGAAATTGTCAAGTACACAAGTTGCTTCAATTTTATGGAAAAATTCTGTTCAATGCATAACATTTAGTGAAACCTGTTTGTTACAGAATTATCATAGATCAGCATTCAATACATTGTGGTAGAAACCATTTCCCTATTCACTATTCCAAGAAACAGCCTTTACAATGTTTGTCTCACCTAAGATTATAGTCATGAACTTTTGCAGAGAGCTCTCTTATCACATTTCATTTAAATAGTTACTGTTTTCAGCTGCAAGTTAATATTAATTGCAGAATATGTGAATAATGCATATTGCTTCAATTGATAATGACTAACTTGGACAGTGTTCCCAATAAACAGCATGTCAATAAGTTAGTGATTCTTGTCTGATAAATGTGCAGCATTAAAAGCATCACATTGGTTTGATCAGTTTGGGAAAAAGAGCCATTACATTGTTTTCATCTCTTGCATTTGGATTTTTGGGACTTTGTTTTATAAATAAAAGTTCAATTACTTAAAAAAGACTAAAGTCCTCTTATGTTACCAGACAGGTTGGATTTCCATTGTTCTAAATGGCGAGTTTCCAATAACATCAATGCTTGCACAGTTGGCAGTGGCAAAGATGTTCCTATTTTTTTAAGAAAAAAGGTAGACGCATTTCATCCAGTGTCACAGTATAAAGAAAGGCAGATTAAGATTTCTCAAAGGTACACGTGGCCAACACCAACTTTCAAATGACTGCATGCCTTTGGAGCAAACATCAAAACACTGCCGAGCCGAACAGGGATACCTGTTGAGGTTGCAGATTAATAAGGATGGATCACCGTGTATGAATGTATGATGAAATTCATCAATCCTCACTTTGAGTCCAATTGGTGGTTGGCAGCCCATCTCTCTTGAGGAATATATTTTTAATTGATATAAATTTTGTATCACACTATATTAATTTGTCCATAAAAGCAAAAAGACAATCTGCACCTAGTAGATTGTGCATATACTGCTACATTGTTCTCATGGCATTCCATAAAATATTAATCAGTTTCCAAATAACGGGCATCTATCATCAGCATGCTGGGCTCAGCTCTTGGACATTTTGTTAAACTTGTGATTTTCACTACATGATGGTCATTGGTGGAATTCCTGTTTCTCGTTTGAATGCTATTTGAATGATTATGTTGGTAATGTATTGCACGTTGCAGAAAATTTCTTGTAGAAGTTATTCCATTTTCCTTCCTTTTTCTTATGCAATTTAAGACTAAAATGTAGTTAGTAAATAAACAGGCATACAGATATTTCATTGTTAGGTAGCAAGATCTGATCTGGTTCAACTGATTCTATTCTTTAGAAACAGTTACAAAATAAAAATGCCAGACACGTTAGTAAAATTGACATAGAAATCAGTTAAAATCACAAAACTTCCTTAATGAAATGAAATATCATTTAACAAAAGTTGCAGCTACATTGCCGACTAATTTTAAGGATATATTCCTAGCATGTAATATGTTACACATGTAAAGACAAGAATGCTTTTTAGAAAAGTAGTTTGCATTCTAATATTGCAGTGGTGCTTTTAAACCGATTACCATCTAATTTAGTCAAAAATGTTGTTAACCAATCCAAGCTAATGTGGAATAGAGATAACAAGGTGTAGAGCTGGATGAACACAGCAGGCCAAGCAGCATTAGAGGAGCAGGAAGGCTGACGTTTCGGGCCTAGACCCTTCTTCAGAAATGGGGGAGAGGAAGGGGATCCTGAAATAAATAGGGAGAGAGGGGGAGGCGGATAGAAGATGGATAGAGGAGAGGATAGGTGGAGAGGAGACAGACAGGTCAAAGAGGCAGGGATGGAGCCAGTGAAGGTGAGTGTGGGTGGGGAGTTAGGGAGGAGATAGGTCAGTCCAGGGAGGACGGACAGGTCAATCCTCCCACCTATCCCCTCCTCCCACCTCAAGCCCCACCCCCATCTCCTACCTACTAACCTCATCCCGCCCCCTTGACCTGTCCGTCCTCCCTGGACTGACCTATCTCCTCCCTAACTCCCCACCCACACTCACCTTTACTGGCTCCATCCCCGCCTCTTTGACCTGTCTGTCTCCTCTCCATCTATCTTCTCCTCTATCCATCTTCTGTCCGCCTCCCCCTCTCTCCCTATTTATTTCAGGACCCCCTTCCCCTCCCCCATTTCTGAAGAAGGGTCTAGGCCCGAAACGTCAGCCTTCCTGCTCCTCTGATGCTGCTTGGCCTGCTGTGTTCATCCAACTCCAGACCTTGTTATCTCAGATTCTCCAGCATCTGCAGTTCCTACTATCTCTCAAGCTAATGTGGATATGGATTGAGGAAGAAAGGGATAATTTACTCTGAATGCATTTTTCAGATAATGGTTCTAACAGTCATCAAATAAATAAAATGGAAATAGTAGTGGTAATGAATCTTTTTTTTAAAAAGAACCTTCAACTTTATCTAATTGAGAGATTAATAATAATTTTGAAAGAATCAGCACTTCTTTCTTGCCTGGTTTAAAAATAACCATTTTCCTCTTTAATTCATAAGATTTAAACATTCCAATCATTAATAAAGGGACTGTCTGTCATATGGACTGTATTATAGGACGTGAGAAAAGGCAAAGGAAATGAAGCTGTTCAAGGGGTACAGACTACCTAACAAGGCTGGCTTTTTCATTAATACCATCAATTGTTCTTGGAGCTTAACGTAACAAACAAAACGTGCTACTCTGTTACAGAATAGATTCAACCTCTGAGGTATTCCCTTTTCTTTTCCCAGGCTGTTCTTTTTATTGTAAAGGCAATATCTCATAAATCCAAAAGAAAACTTCCTTTGAGCAAAAGCCTTAAAATACATGAATTATTGCATTTGTTCAGTGCATTTAAAACAAAAGTGAAATGAATTATAAACTTGATTATTCCTTTGGAAAGATACTCTAAGAAAGTGTCAATTGAACAGAAAACCGATCTGCATATTTTTGGAAATGATTGTATATCACAATATTCTACATTCTAAAAATGTTTATGAATGATCCACTTAGTGAAATTGTGACATTTTACATGTTATTGATTATTTTTGTTTAAGAGGATGGTCATCTATTTTCCTAATTTGAATATTGATGAATATGTTGCAGCAATATTCTAAATTCCATATTTAGCATTCACCGCTGATCTTAAATCCTGTAATTTTTGGAGCACGTCACTTGTGTGTGCTTCTCAAATTGCATTCTGCTGCTTCCTGATTTTTAATCTCTTTTTTTTTGCTTTTTGCTCATTTGTCCTTTCTTTTACTGTGATGTTGTAGAACTTGGAGCATATGGAAAACTAAAATATTATGACTCAATGACAGAAGAAGGTAAGAACTTCAACATCTTTCTCTGTTACATTATCTGTAAAGTCATGAACACACACATTCTCTATTACAATAAAAATTTATTTTAACAACATATGTGTCTCATTGGTTCATTTTAACATTTCTCTCTGGTTGCCACCACATCCTTGCATATGTCATTTTGTTTGTTTCTGTGTATTTATATAACAGTTGTAAAATGTTGTGATGTTTAAAATATTTTGATGTAACATAGAACTGTTGTTGTTTGCCTTGTTTAAAAGTGTTTCAATCACTTCCTGTGCCTCACTACTTCCTTGTTTTCAATTGAGTTCCATTCTTCAATAAAAGCAACCTTCACCTTAATTCTCAGCTCTGTGATTCTGCAGTTCTGTGTTTGTGTGTGTTTGTATGTATCTTGACCAGTAACATGTGATTTTCCTTGCCCGCAAACAATTATACAAGTGGCTTGTAAACTGGAGGCTGTTGAAATGCCACTTTAGCCTCCTAATTGACTGATTAATGTAATTGACTGATTAATTCAGATTCCAATAGGGTGGGATTTCATTTGATCTGTTCAGTGTTGTAGCTCTGCCATAAACATGTCATTTTTTTTTGTATTCGCTTCTAAAACATGGGTCTGGTTGAGTCAAGAGTAATGAGATGAAGTCACCTGCATCTGATGGCTGTCAGAGGCCTTTGTTAATGTTAGGTTTGGAAATCGAAATGAACGATGAGATTACGCGAGAGATGTCAGACAAAAGGCAAGTAGAAAATTCAAGACACCAACAGTCTTTAAATTCTATTGGAATGAGACAACCCTATTGAAATTAAAATTTCCAGTGCAGGGTAGTGGTTTGGCAATAATTAAGACTTATGTCCTTAGAAGTTCACTTGCTCCTGGATATGTCAGTCCTAACCTTTTCTGGATGTTTAATGGGCAAGTACACCAAATTCTTGCAAAGTGAGCGAAATGCCAAGAGTTTCAGCAAAGTACCAAGATAGTATAGTTTATGGAGGACCAGTGCAAATTGATTAGCAACTTCCTGATATCCACTTAGAACTGTGTGTGGAGTTTTGGGCATTTGTTGTCCAATTTATTGCATAAAACTGAGTGTTGATAACCTCACCTTGATAAATATAAAATGTGGGTCATTATGTCTAAAACTATACTGAGATGGCTTTAGTTGGTTGCTTAGTTTTATAACAAAGAAGATTAGGAACTTATCCCATTAATTGTGTCCCTGTGGAAATGTAGAATGTACTTTTTTTATGATCTACATAGAAACCTTTAATTTTTATGAAAATGAAATAAATTTCTAATTAATTGTTGAAAGGAGGGCACAAGATTTCATGTTTTAAGAATTTTATTGTAACAAATAGAATAAACACTATGTTGTAGGCAACTTTTACAGAATAGAATTTTCCCCTTTACTTTTGACACTGCCAAAGAGTTCACCAGGTTTACACTATCCCTTCAGGACTTTTCAGGACCCAACCCAAACAGAATCTTAGATCCTAGGAGTTTGCTGTTTCCCAGCCTGGTAACTTTAAATCCCGTAACTGTCTATCTTTGTCATTTTTCTTTCCCTGGGATTCTCTCTCTCTTGTGCAAGTTAGAAAAATCTTCAAAGCTTGTTTCAAATTCTCATGACTTTTATCTTTTCAATTCAAGCACAAGGACCGACCTGCATTCTTAGATGGTGAATGCTAGACCTTTCAACTTCTTGCCGCTTCCTGCCTTGGATCAAGGGGGACTTGTGGTGAGAGATGTGGGGATATCTTAGAAACAATTGCCTCATCACTTGTAACCAGGAGGAAAGGCCAATAAGCTTTACTTGAGTCAACAAGTTTCTTTTATCTAGGAAGTAAATGTGAAGTTTAATGCTTAACCTTTTATAAGGTGACATTCCCAACACCTCCCTAGAACTTTGGAGACAGCCAGTCACAGCATCATGAACACACATGCTGCTGCCGTTGTCTTCCAGCATGATCATCTTGCATCATCAAACAATTTTTGAGTCATGTCACCCCACCGCATTAAAGGGAGTATCTCCAGAGAAAACCTGCGCTATGGAAGATATTCCTGGCGTTAAATGTTACCAGGCTGTTTGACAAATACCAGATCAGATCACATCTCCCTTTCAGTTTACCCTTATTTGTAGACACAGTGTCCAAAAATAACCTTTTAATACTTCATATGTAACAATTTGAAAACATATTCACACTTATAGCAGAGCGTATTTCTCTAAATGCTGAACTATCAATGCAGAATTAGCTGAATGAAAGAATAATTTTAGCTGAATGGATGCCATTTGCAATTATTGAGGGATAAAGAAAACTTTGTGCATCATTTTTATTTTAATTCTAGCATTTCAGTGTTTCAGAATGTTGCTTGAGTTTGTTTTTGAGAGTTTGGTTTTCCAATTACTACTTCCAAATATCCTCCTAATGCCTTTTGGGGTTCTGCACTGAAGTTTTTTGTATGCTCTGTGGTTAACCTTTAAAATTCTCCTGTACCATCTGTCATAATTGTCTTAATGTGTTTCTTCTCCTTTCTCTGTTCTATGGCATATCTACAGTTAGTATTTTAACAGTCAACTTTCCTAGTCTTTCAAGAGTGCATTTGAAGTAATTAAGTAATTGAGAATTTGATGAATTGCTGAGAATTTTCATATTAGATTCTTTGACTAAAACCAGCAACGAAGATAAAATGCTTCAGGGAGAGTTGTTTACCGAGGCTGCAATTTTGATGGCATTTCTGGAATATTTTGCTCCATCATTGCACAGAAACCACACTGGCTGCTGGAAATGTGCAGGAATGTGTATGATAGTGCAAATTGAAAGGGCTCAATTGTGACAAAGAATGTTATATTATGAAAAAACTGTATATGTTTATCTGCATTACTATGGCCAAACATCTAATTGTGGCTTACATCAGTGGAGAATCTTTACCAAGATGGTAACCTTTAAATATATTCTACAATGCACAGCGGATGTGAAATCTCACTGCAAACAACTTGAAGATTTCTTTAAGGAATGTAGTTTTAAAAAATGTATTAGAATTTTCACACATTATGCAGAGTTACTTCCCTATAAACAATAGGAACAACTTGTATTTATGTAATGTCTTTAGGATAATAAAACGTCCCAAGCTCCTTCACAGCACAGTTGCTCAGTGGTCAGCACTGCTGCCTCACAGCACCAGGGACCTGGGTTTGATTCCACCCTCGAGTGACTGTCTGTGTGGGGTTTGCACATTCTCCCCGTGTCTGCGTGGGTTTCCTCCGGGTGCTCCGGTTTCCTCCCACAGTCCAAAGATGTGCAGGCTAGGTGGATTGGCCATGCTAAATTGCCTGTAGTGTTCAGGGATGTGTAGATTAGGTGGGGTATAGGGGGATGGGTCTGGGTGGGATGCTCTGAGGGTCAGTGTGGACTTGTTGGGCTGAAGGGCCTGTTTCCACACTGTTAGGGATTCTATGATTCCTTCCACATTTAAAAACCAAAATTTGCCATTGAGTCACATCAGGTAGACACCAAAAGCTTGGTTTTATGGAGTGAACTAAAGGAGGAAAGAGAGGTGAAAAGATTTAGGGCAGGAATTCTTGGGGCTATGGTTTTAGCAATGAAGGCTTGATCACCAGGAATAGAACTAATTTCAGGGATGCTCAAGAGGAAAGATTTAGTGGTGTGCAAATATTATATCTGAATGTGGAGTGGGGGAATGTGAAGATTTGCAGGAGAGCATTTGAAAATCAGCAGTATTTGCTGCCTTTCCAATTGTACCTAGCAAGCCCTTCCATTGAAGGGAAATATTTTTGATTCAAAATTTTTGTGATCCAATTTCAATTAGATCCATGCAGACAGGATATAAAATAATCAAGCACTGATACAGCAACTGAATGCGCAGGTTTCCCACTGAAGGGCAAGCAGATGGGAGTAAAGAATGGGGTGGCTAGCGAGAGACAGCAGAAACTGGCTCCAGTCCCAGTGGGGGGCAGGCATATAACAATGGTGCTCTGAAGCTGCACTGGCAAGAGATGTGCCATTCAAAATGTCACTGTATTGTTTAACAGGATGCTGGTGTAAGTCAGCAAGCACAGGGGTGATGTGTAATTTGGACAACAGGGTGGAATTTTCCCAGCCCCTGCACAATGTGGGCAATGGTGAAACGATTAGGAAAATATGACAATACTGACCATAAATGTGTTGATGTTGGAAAGGTAAGCAGCCCTGGTTTATTCCCAAATGCTGATTATCAGTTTTAACTTTAGTTGTACAACAGGAAAAGCAAACGTGACAATCTGTTGGAAGGCTTCATATCATTTGATGCTCCCACATTCAAATCTGACCATGTTTTATGCTGGTATGTGTGCTAAGGAAAGGACAGTGATTCTTCAGTCAGAATTCTAACATCAGCTAGTGCTGAGGGACAGAATACTCTAACTTCGCTCTCGTAGCTACAGCTAAACTGGCAGTTCACAAGGCCGGGGGATGATGCAAAATGAAAATGTATTTGATAATGTAAGCTTCTACATAGAATAAAGTGTCACCCACTGTCACTTGTGTGGCCTCGTTGGGATTTTTTTTTCCTTTCCACTATGTTTAAATGTGGTCCTGGGATCGGGGTAGCCTGTCCTGTCGTTGGCCTTGGAGTTTTGGGTGATGACCCTGAATGCATTTGTGGCCAGAGGGAGCCCAGTGTGTCCTGGTCAAATGCAGACTCATCCTGACTGAGGGAGGATGTTACATGAAACAGTGGAAATGATCAACCTTGTTGGAACAGATGGTGCGGTGACAGAGTTAGTGGCAGAGAGAAAATGCTGGTACATACCATTGTGGAATACAGTAGATCATTAATCTTCTTTATGCATTGCTGGGCACACTGAGGGCACTGCACTGACCCTAATGGCAACTTCAGACCAAGCTAACAAAGTCTAGTGCTGGGACTTCCCAGTTCCTGTTGGCAAAGTGAGGTGTCAACTTTTCTCTATCAGCCTCTTCCTCTGTAATTTTTCACACACTGG